AAAAAAAAAAAAAAAAAAAAAAAGAGCTGCAGTCAAGATTTAGTAGAATATGCTCTAATGAGGGCAGCACAGGGCACACTGGGAGCCCAGAGCAAGGGGAGACTATTATACAACTGCCGAGAGAGATGGGTAGCCAGAGAGGGCTCTGCAATAAAGCTCCCTTGGATCTGGATCTTGAAGAGTAAGCAGCTCACAAGGTGTGGGAGACTGTTGCATGTTCACCAAGCTTCATCTTTCACACCTGGGCACATATTGTAGCCTGTTTGCAAAGATGGCTGTAATTTTCTTCCTGTTCCTGGACAATGCCCTTTGCAAGTTGATTTTGCCTTTCCTGCCATTGAGAAAGAAAGCACTCTGTCCCCCACTAGTCTGGGTAAGCCTTGTGGGTTGCTTTGATCAACAGAATTTGCTGTAAGTGATATTGAGCCTAGGCCTGAAGAGGTCTTGCAGCTTCTACTCCTGCCTTAAGACTGTTGCATGATGATGCCCAGACTAGTGTCTTTGCAGATGAGAGATCACAGTGAAAGAGAAGCCCAGCCAGCACCAACCACCAGCTGTGTGAGTGAGGCCATCCTGGATCATCCAGCCCCAGCTGCCCCACCAGATGACTGCAGCCACAAAAGTGATCCCAGTTGAGACCAAGATAAGATCTGCTCACCTGGTCCAGTCCAAATTGCTGAACCCCAGAATCATGAACAAATAAAGTATGGTTGTTTTAAGCCCCTAAGTTGTAGGTGATCTGTTCTACTGCTAAAGTTAACTGATACAATACATAACTAAGCTATACTTTCTAGCATCCTTTGTGGTTAGGTGGGGGCCATGTGACCAATTCTGGCCAATGAGATGTAGGCAGAAGAGAAGCACCTCTTGCAGCCTGACCCATCTCCCTCATAATCCTTCACACTGGCTGAATAGAGAGGACTCCAAGGAGCCTAGAGGAGGGCAGGATCACAAGCTGGAAGGCACCCGGGTCTCTAACTAACTGTCCTCCATGACCCGCCTGTACAGAACTGTGACATGAGCAAGAAATATACTTTTTTTGTTAAGCCATTGAGATGTCAGGGGTGTCTGCTGCAGCAGATAACCTACCCTGATTAATCCATCAGAAAAACAAGGTGGGGAATTAGAAAGGGGGTGTTTCTAGCACCAGCCTAGGAAAGAACTTAGAAAAGCTGAAAGCCAAGACCAGTCATCAACATCACTATCATCATGTGTTTTCCTCAAAATAACAATAACCCCCGTAGCTACCATTTATTAGGCACTTGCAGTGCTAGTCCCTGTGCTAAGGACGTTACCCATATAACTTACATTTAATCTTCACAATCCTTGTAGCTGGAACTACAGGTGCACACCACCACACCTGGCTAATTTTTGTATTTTTTCAGAGACGGAATTTCACCATGTTGCCCAGGCTGGTCTTGAACTCGTGAACTCAAGTAAACTGCCTGTGTCGACCTCCCAAAATGGTGGGTTTACAGGCATGAGCCACTGCACCTGGCAGCCTGCACTATTATTAATCCCCATTTTTCCCCCATCCCCATTTTATAGGTGAGGAAATTGGCCCACAAAGATGAAATGACTTGCCCAAGGTCACAGCCAAGAGTGGCAGTGCCAAGATCTGCATCCAAATCTCTGATTCTGTATCCTGCACCCATATACACACTCCTGGCTGCCTAGAACGAGTGTCCATCATTGGCAGGGGGTTGTGAGATAGGCTTGTGATGGGCCTCAAATGCCAATCTAAGAGACTGGCCTTTATCCTAAAGGCCAGTGAAGCTGTCGAAGCAGGAAAATGCCATGATTAGATCTGGCTATTTGTCTTTCAGTGATGGATAACTAGCCATGTCTTTTCCATTCAGATGCAAGGTTGCATTCATTCATGAGTATTTCCCAAGTATCGCATAGGTTTTCGGGGTCTGAGTTCTCAGAGATGAGTTAGATGAGGTCCCTGCCCTTTAAGATTTATGGGAAGGTAGAAACCAATCACTGTAACCAAAAGTGTTACGTTCTCTGTAAGAGGGTAGGTAACCTAATTTGGGAGTTGAGGCATAGAAAAGATTATTTCTGGGGGATGGAGACAGAGATTCTGGCTTCCTCTTCTGACACCCATTTTCCCCGTTCTCCTCAGTAAAAGGAAAGGACACTGACTGCATTTTATGGTTGCACTATGTCCAGCAGAAAGAGACATTTCTGTCTCCCTTGCAGCAAAGTAAAGCCATCTGATAAAATGTTGTCCAGTTGGATATAAGCCAAAATGTTGCATGACAATTTTGGGAGGACTTCCTAAAACAGGAGGACAAACCCTTTTTCCACCCAGTCACCTCTGTGCTGCCCGGAACTAGAAGTATGATGTATGGAATTTAGGTAGCCATATTGAACCATGAGGACAAGGGCAGTGGGGATGGTGGAACCAAGGGCTGGAAGGTGCCTGGGTCTCTGGTGACGATGTGGAGCTGCTGTAACAGCCCTGGACTCCTACCTCTGGACTTCTTTTATGTTTGAGTATAACACTTTGGGTGTTTATTTTTAAAATGTATTTTAGAAATGAGGTCTCACTATGTTGCCTAGGCTGGACTGAAACTCCTAGGCTCAAGCAGTCCTCCTGCCTCAGCTTCCTGAATAGCTCAAACTACAGCACTTTGAGTATTTAAGCCATGATTTGAGGTTTATCTAGCACCTCCTGGAATATCAAGCTTAACGTATCCAATCCTTGCCCCGGATGTTTTCCTCCCCAAATTCTCTCAATCTCACTAAATGTCACCACCATCCACCTGGTTGCTCAGGTCAAAAACCTAGAAATCATTCAAGTTCTCTCCCTTTCCCTCATCCCAGTATCCATTCCATCAGCAGTATCTGTCCATCCTACCTCCAAGACATCCCAGACCTCATCACCTTCTTCGTCTGCCCCTCCTACCCTCACCCTCATCCAGCATCATCTCCACCCGGACTCTGCGAGAGCCTACTCGTGCGTCTCTCTGCAACCCTATCTGCCCCCTCCACAGCTGTCTCCACCCAGTGGCTAGAAGGATTTTTCAAAGAGGTAAATCAGATCAAGTCACCTCTCTCCTTAAAACCCTCTGAGGGCTCCCCATAACATGTATAATAAAATAGAGACCCCTTCCCAGGGACTTCAAGGTGCTATGTGGCCTGGCCTCTCTCTGACCTCACTTCACTCTGGGCTCACTAGCCCTGCTGTCCCTCAAGCATGCTGAACTGGTTCACACCCCCGAGACTTCACCCTTTTCTTCCTTCTGCCTGGAATGTTCTTCTCCCCACCTCCCGACCCCCATCTTCCCAGGGCTGTCTCCTGTTCCCATTTGGGTCTCAAATCATATCAGTACCTTCTCAGAGAGGCCTTCCCTCACTGCTCATCCTTCACTTTTAGATCACTCTCTTTTCTTTTAAGAGACAAAGTCAGTCTGGTGCGGTGGCTCATATCTGTAATCCCAGCACTTTGGAAGGTCAAGGCAGGCAGATCACCTGGAGTCAGGAATTCGAGACCAGCCTGGCCAACATGGTGAAACACTGTATCTACTAAAAATACAAAAATTAGACAGGTGTGGTGGTGCGTGCCTGTAGCCCTGGCTTCTCGGGAGGCTGAGGCAGGAGAACTGCTTGAACCTGGGAGGCGGAAGTGGCAGTGAGCTGAGATTAAGCCACTGCACTCCAACCTGGGTAACAGAGTGAGATGCTGTCTCAAAAAAAAAAAAAAAAAAGCAGGGGCGGGGGAGAGAGGGTATTGCTCTGTTGCTCAGGCTGAAGTGCAGTGGCACGATCATGGCTAACCACAGCCTTGAACTCCTGGGCTAAAGCCATCCTCCCACCTCAGCCCCCCAACTAACTGAGACTATCGGCTCCTCCCACCACACCTGGCTAATTTTTGTGGTTTTTGTCAAGACAGCTTCTCCATGTTGCCCAAGCTGGTCTCCAACTCCTAGGCTCAAGGGATCCTCCTGCCGCGGTTTCCCAAAGTGCTGAGATTACAGGCGTGAGCCATTCATTGCGCCTGGCCCAGAACACTATTTCCTCACTATTGTTTTACTTCTTCTACGAAGATTTCACTGGAATTATCAGATTAATTTGCTTATTTGTTTACTCTCTGATTGCCCATGACTGGAATATATACTCCAGGAAGGCAGGGATATAATCCTTTGGGTTTATTGCTGCACCCCTAGTACCTAGAAGAGTTCTTGGTACCCGATAAATGTCTAGGGAACTTGCTGCATGAATTACATGCGTCAGATGGGATATCTGCTTATATTTCTTTTTTTTTTATTTTTATTTTTGAGATGGAGTTTCGCTCTTTCACTCAGGATAGAGTATACTGGTTCAGTCTCGGCTCACTGCAACCTCCACCTTCCAGATTCAAATGATTCTCCTGCCTCAGCCTCCCGAATAGCTGGGACTACAGGCGCCCACCACCACGCCTGGCTAATTTTTGTATTTTTAATAGAGACGGGGTTTCACCATATTGGCCAGGCTGGACTTGAACTCCTGACCTTGTGATCCACCTGCCTCGGCCTCCCAAAGTGCTGGGATTACAGGCGTGAGCCACTGTGCCCAGCCTGCCTGCCTTTCTTTCTTTCTTCTTCTTCCTTCTTTTTCTTTTTTCGAGATAGGGTCTCGCTCTGTCACCCAGGCTAGAGTGCAGTGCCACAATTATAGCTCACTACAACCTTGAACACTTGGGGTTAAACGATCCTCCCACCTCAGGCTCCCAAATAGCTGAGACTACAGGGGTGCGCTACCATGTCCGGCTAATTTAAAAACTTTTTTTTTTTTTTTTTTTTTTTAGAGATAGGGTCTCAATATCTTGCCCAGGTTGGTCTTGAACTTCTGGGCTCAAGCAATCCTCCTGCCTTGGCCTCCCAAAGTGCTGGAATTATAGGCATGAGCAACTGCACCTAGCCCAGACAGAAACTCATTTCAGCCTCAAAACCACTTTGTGACATCAATCTCCTCATCTTAAACACCTGGGTTGATACCAGCTCAACCACTTGCCATCTGTGTGGGGGGCAAGTGACCTTGCTTTTCTGAGCCTCAGTTGCCCCATCTACAAAATGGGAATGATACCAGTTGTAGGAAATGAGAATAAATAAAAAGTTCCTCTTCAAAGCTTTCCTCTTAGTTCATTACGAATAAATAACAGTTTCTTCAAAGGTTAATTTACTTTAAAGCTTTTGCTAATAATCTTAAAGTAGCTGTTAGTCATAATAAAGAAATAAGTGCATCCCGTGTTCTTAGTTCTCACACTTTAACCCAGATATTTGCCCTGACATGGCTGGACAAGCCCAGGCAACTCTTAGGTCAACGCTTATTCATTCCCCTTTCTTATTTGGAAAATGTTATCGCTTCTCTAAGCATTCCTCAAGTTACTTCCTCTTTTTCTTTGTTCTCCTCTGCCTTTACCTCTTTAGAAAATTTCCAAGTTTTTAGCCAATCAGGTCAAACATAGAATGTGAGGTCCCGTTCTGGCCAATGGAAACTGGACACAGCAGTAGGGCGACTGCATCAGGTTATGAAAGTTACAAGTGTCCCTGTCTCCCTTGTTCAGGTGTGCTCTCGTGAAAGGTGAGGTGCACCCTTCCTGCAGGAAGTAAAACCAGCCTTGTTGAGTAATCCCTTGTCTCTGTGTGGATTTTTCCCGATGATAAACCCGTTTCCAACACCAGTGCCTGCCTGGTAAGGATGAGCCCCGTGCCTGAGGCTCAGGGAGCCCTCTCTGTGAGGCTGTTTTAGTACAACCTCGGGAAACATGCCCATGCACGTGAAAACTAGCATGCACATTCTGGTGCTTTTAAAAACATCTCGAAGCCCATCCATAGATCCTGGACCTCAAGTCTGCTTCCGTGCTAGCCCCCCATTTTACAGATGTGGAGAATGAGGCTTAGCAGGTCCCAGACAAGTCAGTGGCAAAACTCACCATCTCCTGGGAGCCATCTGGTTCCTCTGGATCTGCCCCTACCAAATCTATCCCCTGCTCTCTGCTTGAGGGTGCACATGGGGTAAGGGTGGGGGGCTTTTGTCTTACTCCCTCCCCCTCCTGAGGAGTCAGTAACCAACAGTGTCTGTGCCTGGAATATTAATGTCTCAGCAGCTTTTGTTTGGGGGGTTGGGAGTGGTGGGGGCGGGACTTTCTGGTCAGAGAGGGGCTGAGCTTTGGGGACTGGGGCACTGGCCCTTTAAACTGTGTTGACAGCCAGGAGTCGTCATGGGGATGGTGCTTGGAAAAAGGGACAGGGGAGGGTTTAAGAAAGAGTGGCGGAGCAGGTAATGCGTAAGACCCAGGAATCCAGCCCCCAAATACCTCCTCTCCCAGGACCCAGGAGTCTAGGCTCCCAGCCCCTCCTCCATCAGGTTCCAGGCGTCTGGGACCGCGGCTTCTTTCCCCCTTACACCCAGGAATTCAGCTCCCAACCATCTCCTCTCCTAGGTTCCAGAAATCTAGACCCCTAGCCTTTTTCTCTATCAGGACCTAGGAGTCTGGGCTGCCAGCAGCCCCTTCCTTCAAACCTATGAGTCAGAGCCCCCAGCCCTCTCCCAGCTTAGACACAGGAGTCTGGGCCTCCAGCCCCCTCCTCCTTCAGGACCCAGGAGCCAGGGGTCCAGAGTACACAGCTGGTGGATGTTTCCACGGAGACTAAGCAGGGTGGGGGGAGCGCTTCCTGGGTCCTGAGTCAGCGAATACCCAAGGGAGTCTCAAGGTCATAGTTCCGGGAAGGTCACCGCCGCCCCTTCTGTATCCACTCCCCAGGGGGCTCCTGGCATCCTGCCTCCTTCCCCCTCCCTCCCCTAGGGAGATGGTACATCCCTGTGTCCTGACCGAACCCCCCTCAGCCCCCCATCAATGGCGGAGTCCGAACATCCTCGCACAAAGCGTCAATTCTTCCCCAGCTCAGCCTTGTGAAGGCGCCTGTATTCGCAGGACCTAGGCATTAGGGTCCCAGCCCCTCCTCCCCCAGAAACCTGGAGTGGACCCCCCGCCCCAGCCCATTCCTCCCTCAGGACCCAGGAGTCTGTATCCCCATCCCTTCCTCCCTCAAGACCTAGGAGTGTGGACTCCAGTCCCCTTTTCCTTCCGGACACAGGAGTTGCAGCGCTCAGCCTTCTCCTCCCTTAAACCCCCTCCTCCCTCAGACCCAGGACTTTAAGACCCCAGCCCCCTTCTCCCTCAGATCCGGAGTCTAAGACTCCCGCCCCCTCCCCTCCCTGAGAAACAGGACTCTAAGGCCCCAGCCCCCTCCTCCCTCAGACCCAGGACTCTAAGACCCCAGCCCCCTCCTCCCTGAGAAACAGGACTCTAAGACCCCAGCCCCCTCCTCCCTCACACCCAGGACTCTAAGACCCCAGCCCCCTCCTCCCTCACACCCAGGACTCTAAGACCCCAGCCCCCTCCTCCCTCAGACCCATGAATCTAAGACCTCAGCCCCCTCCTCCCTAAGATCCCAACCCCCTTGTCCCTCAGACCCAGGAGTCTAAGACCCCAGCTCCCTCCTCCATCAGATCCAGGAGTCCAGGCCCCCAGCCCCTCCTGCATCAGATCCAGCCCCTCCTCTACTGGAAACTTTTGAGTCTAAGTTCACAGCCCTGCCTTTCCTAAGCCCTCTGTCCCCCTCCCATCTGGGGACCTAGGCATCAGGTGGGGGCGTAGGGGTGAGTCAGCAGCCTCACACACAAAGTCCCCCCTGTGGCCCCCACATTCCTGGGATATTCGGGACTCCCTGGATTCCAGGCCTCAGGCCCAGCCAGGGGGTGGGGAGTCCTCCAGAGGTCCTCCCTGGGTGTGGGGTACGGGACGAATTCCAGCTCCGAGAAGGGTGCAGGCCTGCACTGAGCTCCCACTATCTGAACCTCCACCCTCAGTGCCCTCTATTCACCCCTTCCCAGCAGAGCCCAGGCTCAGCGCCTGACCCTTGCCCCACTGGGTGCCCACGGAGGAACCCGAGTGCCTGCTTCCTATGGGCCTGGGGTCTGCACAGGCGGAAACCAGTGGGTGCTTGGGTCCTGGTGCCACGGGCCATTGGATGCTGGCGGGTCTGACTGTCTCCAGGCCGCCCCCCCCCGCACCCCTCCCAGAGAGAGAAAGCTGCCTTTGTGTTCTCCAAGATGGGGACAGGCCAGGCTCACACGACATTAACGCACCCTTAGGCCCCAGCCCTGCTGTGTCTAAGGTCTTGGAATCCATTGCAGAACCTGACCCCCACCCCCGGCCTCTGGGGACACAGGCGCCTGGCTCATGAATGGGTGGGTGGGTGGGGGGGTCAGTGATAGAAACCTCCAAAACCTGTTCCTTGGGGTGACTCACAATGGGGGGAGGATCCCCCTATTCTCAGAGTAGCTGGTCAGAATTTTAGCAGGGACAAGTGAATCACCCTGGGAGGGAAACATTATTTGGGGATCAACAACTGCCCCCTCCACAGGGCCACTCAACTCCTAACAGCCTCTCTATTCTTTCTTTGTATTGGATATCTGTTTCCTCTGCTCCTTTCTGTTCTACCCCATTTCTGGTTGTAGGTCCCCGTTTCTGCCTGGGTGCATCCCTGAGCAGGCAACCCGTCCCTTCCTCTCATTTCCTCACCTCTGCCCACCCTGGATCCTTCTTCTTGTGGCATACATCTCATCCTCTTCTAGTATGCTCAGAAGATGAATGAACCAGGAGACAGAGAACATGTTTTTAAAATGGCACAAATGCACCCCAACTCCCCCGATTCCTGCTGGCAGGGCAAGATGAGAGAGGAAGGAGAGTGACTGAGAGAGAAATGTGGGAACAACTGATACCCCTAAAAGGTGGTGACCCTGGCCACTCAGAAAGATCCAATAAAAAGGAAAGCAGGCAGGGCCCTCCAAGACCACGTGCTACAGCCTTCTACTCCATGCTTTACAGAAGGGGACAATAGGGCCCAGAGAAGGACAGGGACTGATGCAAAATTATACTAAAAGGCCCTGGGTAAGGCTTAGACGCAAGTTCCTTAGCTCCCAGCCGGGAGCTCTTTCCATGACACCAAGCTCACTCTCCACTTGCAAAAGCCACATACCATTTACTTTACAGAAAGTTTACTGAGAGGATTAGGGTGCCAGGAAGCAGTGACTTGGAAATCAAGGGACAGGGCTGTACACCTAACTCCCAGAAGCACCAGAGAAAGGCTTTTGCACAGGGCGGGCAGTACCTTGAGCTATATTCTGATCTTGAGAATTCAAACTCTGATGATTCTAAGCTGTCAAGATTCAAAATGTCGTAGATGTCAAGATCCAGGAACTCCAAGACATCCAGATTTCACGACTTTAAAGATGTCAGGTTGCCAGCATGCTAACACCATCACAGCTCTAGAACTTTAAAGGCGTCAAGATTCTAAAGCCTTCTGGATTCTAGAATCCTATCCATGCCAGCATTCTAAAGTACCCTCAGGTTCTTTGTTTACTGGATTCATTAGTTCCAGGATTCTATGAACCTGGTGTTTAGCCTAAAAAATAAAGATAAATTAAAATGGAAGGAAATGGCACGAAGGCACCAAAGTTCTCATCTGGGAAATTGTGGCGTGCCTGGTGCAAAGAAAGGTGCTGATGCAGTTCTAAAGCAGTCACAGAAGACTAGAGAAGAAAGAAAGGCAGACAGTGAGAGGACAGCTTTGCCCCTCGCCCTGGCCGAGGTAAGGGAGGCTCTGCCTCAAACCCAGGAGTGGGGAAGGTGTAACCGCACTCAACTCGCCAGAAACCCCTTCAAGATCTGAGCTGGTGTTCCCTTTCAGGTCACTGAGTTCAACATCCTCACTTTACAGAAAGAGAAGCAGAAGCCTGGAGAGAGGGAGGTGTTTACCATTGGCTGAGATGGCAAATGGCAAGAGCCAAGATTTAAACCCAGGCCGCCAGCCCCGTGCCACCTGGGTACAACTCCTGCAGAATACCCAGCCCTCCTGCTTCTGCCCAGCCACCTTCCATTCCTCTGTTCCTTCCAAGAGTGGCTTTATCCACCAGGGAGGGGTGACCCGTGGCAGGTTCAAGACTCACACAGTGTGAGAGTAGTGTGTGGGTGACATTTCCTGACCTTGTCCCCAGTCTCAGGGTCACCTGACCTTGGGGGTCTCCAGCTTCTCACAGTGTGTGATGAGGGTATATGGATGGCTCCCTGGATGTCCCAGACAGGGGCTTCTCTGTGAGTCAAGCCTGGGTGTGTGAATGGGTGAGGAGGGTTTGGAGAGGCATTCGCTGAAGCCACGTGTGTGCCTATACGTCAAGGTCCCCCATTCTCACTTCCCTGCACACATGCACACAGATGTTGCCCCCCAGGGCTCTTTAGGACGCCCTGCCCTACTGAATTCCTCCAGAGGCACAGAGGGATAGAGAGAGGGAGGACAGAAGGATGGGGATGGGAGATCCCGGGATGGAGGCTATAAGGGTACAGAGAGGAGGCAAAGCAGAAAGGCAGGGATGGAGACAGTGGGACAGAGACGGGGGAAAGAGACAGGTGACAGAAAGGGCTAGAGAAACGAGTGACAGAAAGACAGGGGAAAGACAAGGGTTGGGGCAGATAGGGGACAGAGAAAAAGGGACAGAAAAACAAGGGTGACAGCAAGACGGAGACAGGGACCTAGAATAGGGGCAGAGAGGGAGGGCAGAAATCCGGGGGAAAGAGAATAGAGAAGATGATGGAGGGGACAGAGTGACCCAGGAAAAGGGGACAGAGGTAGGGGACAAAGACAGAAGAGATGAGGAACACGGAGGCAAGGAGAGAGGGAGACAGGCAGAAGGAGGGACAGGACTTTGAGACTGAGGGACAGAGGACAAGGATAGGGGGACGAGGAGCCAGACAGGGGATTCAGAGATGGGCGGGCAGAGTGACGCGGAGACCGGACAGAAGGACAGCGGGACCAGCCTGGGGAAGGCGGACTTGTGTGTGGGGGGGGTCTCGGGCCCTTTGTCCCCGCCGGGATCCGGCCTGCGCGGGTGGGGGGTGCTGCGGCACGGCGGCCGGGGCCCGCGCCCCCTCCCCCGCTCATCGCTCCCGGCTGCCGGCCCGCGCTGCGCTTTGTCCCGGGGAGGGGGCCCGGCCGGGCCCCGCGCGCATTGTTCGGCCTCTGCGGCCCCGAGGCGACCGGGCTGTCACCACGGCGCGCCCCCCTCCCCAGCCCGGCCGGCGGACCCCGGCCCCCGACCCTACCTGGCCCCGCCGCGGCCGCCCACAGCAGCAGCAGCGGCCACTGGAAGCGCCGGGCCCGGCCCATGGTGCCGCCGCCGCCGCCGCCGCTCGCTCCCGGCCCGGCACCTGCACCGCCCGCGCCTCCCGCCCCGCCCCCCGCGCCCCGCCCCCTGCCCGCCCGGGGGCGGGGCGCCGAGGCCGGGGCGGGGCCGGGGCCGGGGCCGGGGAGGGGAGGGGGAGACCGAGGAGGGGCCCGGGGACAATCGGGGGGATGGCCCGGTGAGGGGACGGTGCGGGGTGCGAGCGCCGGAGAGGAGACGGGAGAGGAGGGCGGGAAGGGGTGCGCGGGAGGGCGGCGGCGTCGTGGGAGCCGGCGGGGGATCTGCGTGAGCGCGG